TTTATTTTCCGCTGTGCTTGAGATCCCGTAACCCAACATAATTGACTTCTAGACCAAGCAGTTTTGGATATCTTACAACAAAAACAAAACACTTTATCCAACTCTTTTGAATAAACCAACCATTTTCTATCATAAAAATCACCATTTCGTAACTTACGGATATAATGTTCACAAGAAAAGTGTCTACCTACTTTATCATTTGGAAAGTTGATGTTGGTTTCCCTTATAGACCCTTTTTTAGCAAGCAAATATTTCAGTTTTGAATCTAAGTCATCCCAAACCCTTGAATCAAAAATATTCAAACTAACTTCATCATTACACGGATTTTCATCATCCCCAACTTCATTAGTATACAGATTTTCAATATTTTCAACAAAATCATTCCGATTTTCAGAAACATTGTCAATGGGATTTTCATAAACATTTTCAGTGGGATTTTCAAAAATATTTCCAATGAGATTTTCAGGAACATTTTCAACGGGATTTTTAGACACATTTTCATGCCCAACAAAATATCGATTTAACGATCCATGTAAAGTATAGTATCAATATGGTTAGGTTTGGTGTAGATGTTTAACCGCACACCAATTGTTCGATATAATGTCGAAAAGAGTAAAAATGCATGATTAAGCTTAGGTTAGTGATCATTGGACTTGTTTTACTGTTTAGTAGTTGAAATATGTTTATAGCATGTAAATGTAGCGAATCATGGAAGTTGGATCATAAAAGTTAGTCGGAAATTGCGGAATCGGATTTTACCGACAATGCAGCTTTCATACTTTGACAGTGTATAACTCACAAACCGTAAGTCGGAATAAGCTTGTATTTTGCAGTTAGAAATATCTTGATGTATACTACAACTTTCATGAAGGGTCGAAGATCCAGTTATAACTCTAAGTGGCTCGAAACAATGTGTTTTCGGGGTGTTTGCACTGTATTCGGGATTAATCTGCTGTTTTGTAAAATTCGTATAAAATAGATGGATAATCCAAATGAGATGATTCCAAAAATGGTAGATTCTTCATATACCATACTACAACTTTCATTTAGATAGTATCTTCTGTATTAAGTGTTGAGTCGATTTCTTAATGTAAATTCGGCTGTCTAATTTGAAGTTTAAGTTATTTATAAATATGTAGAACTTAATTAACTTATTAGTAGAATTAGGATATGATTTTATGTCATTTAAGTAATAACTGATTTACGCATTCGTTAGGCACGCGACTAAGTCAAAGTTTACTGTGAATCCCGTTTGATCGTACTTTACTTCTCTATTCCTCATAAGGTACATATTTCACTTTCTTTGACTCTTGGACAACTAGTTGTTGTAGTTGATCCTTCGTAATGGTGGTTCACCACTTGTGATTGATTGCTTAAAAGTGGTCAACAAATTACGTACTTATATATATATATAAAACTCTTGAATCTTTATCATGAACACTTGATTTTAGTCCGTTGAATTGTATGTTTGAATTTTTCAAGTTTGTTAAATTGATTCTCATATTTTGAAGTAGTTTTGAATTTTATGAAGTACTTTGAAGCTTGACCTTTTATGAAAGTCATCCGAGTAATGACACATGTTTAGTTTTATTGGTTTTCAGAACAACCCAATTAATGGGTACATTATTTGGATGCCTTTGATGATGACTTTGTAGTTATGGCGTCCTGCAGGTGAACTCAGTCCATAGGGTTAGGTCCAATAGTGCCTTACGTGAACCCACTTTGTGGACTAGGCCAATTTTATTGGCTTCATGGCGGATGGATCGATCCTAGGATTACCCACCATGTGACCGTGGTTATATTCACGGGGGACTCAGGGTGTGTGTCTACATGCCGGTCCGATAGTTCGTGTGGTTTGGCCACCCTACGAACACTACAAAAATTGACAGATTTTGTTTATATTATGTTTTGAATGAGAATTGTGAAACATCTTGATTTTCTAAGAATTTAGTTTAATTGATTATTGAGTCTTCCACTTTATTATCGATGTTACGTATTATTATTTCAAGTTTATATTATAATCTGTTGACTGAGCCCCGTGCTCAGCCGTGTTCTTGTTTTCTAACATCATAGGTTCCAAGTGATACTGATAGGGACTGGACTTGCAATCGAGCGTTTAACTTTTGGAGTTTGTAAACTCGTTTGTAGATGTATAATATTCTAAGCTTATAAATAGTTTTCTGGAATGTAATAGTTTGGGTTGTAAAGCATGCTTTAAAAGTTATAATCTATATTTGGAGTTTATTAGTAGATCTATAATGTTTGTGTCTTTGAATTAAGTCTCGTTAGTGACACCGCTCGTTCCGGACCACGTGGACGGGGGATGTTACATAAAGATTGAGCAATTTTTGTTTTCTTTTCTTTCTTTTTCTATTTTGTGCACCTGATGGTTGTGATTTAGGAAATATGTTTTATATCTTATGAAATTCAAGCAAAAAATACCCAAGCAATAGTCAAGCAACAAACATAGAAGGATAAAACCTGGATTAAGCTCGTGCTTCCTTTCTTTCTGGTTTTTCCTATTCCAAGTTGGTCAGGCAAAATCAAGAGCAAGAAGTTGGATCAAGAACAATCTATGTTATTGTTAGGCATTAGCAGAATTAAGATGGATCAATTATTCATCAAACACCTAGAGTGCAAAACTACGCAGGTAAAAATAGGGTGAATTAAATGCACAAATTATAATTTAGAGCAAACTAGAAAACGTGAAAACTAGGGAGAAAATTTATGAAATCTTTTTATTCGAGTGATCATAATCCAAAAAATATAATATTTTACATTCAATCCATCATATAATATTTTACATTCAATCATACAGACTTAAAAGACAGATAAACCAATATCCAAATTAAGTTGGAATATTACCAATTCAAAACCCAACAACTACTAGATCAATCAAGGTGAACATAATTTACAGACGAACAAAAGGGTTTAATGGTTTGATAAACAACGCAAATGCAAATCAACAAATGCAATCGACTGTATTTGAAAAAATGAAAGTTGAAACAAAATCATACCTTGTTTGACTTTTGAGAAACAATGCAAATTGCCAATGAAATCCACACAGTCACTCTCGCTCTTGCCTCTTCGGCCTCTTCCAGTTCAGCAGTTCCAAACTTCCAATTGACTGTATTTACTATCTAGATTTTAAATTTGAAGAATGAATTGAAGGATTGAGATTTGAGAAACAAATCATTAAATCAAATTATGAAGGATTGAGATTTGAGAAACAAATCATTAAATCAAACTATGAAGGATTGAGATTTGACATTTGAGACTTCAAGTATATCTGTATATATAGTTACCGGTACCGACAAGGTGAGTAGTCGACTTACTGTGGACAGACGCAGACCAGTCTATCACTCATCCTACGACTATGGCGATGGACAGTCGTCTACTCGTCGTCCCATGGCCATGAACACAGTCGTTGCCCTTACCCGTTAGAGTCGTTACCGTTGACGTTAATCATTTTCCTCTGGAATCGGAATGTCTTCGTCAAAATCAAAAAAATCGAACAACAATCATGATTCGTGAATCGTCAATTTCCCTTTCAAACATGCACAACAATCGTCAATTGTGATTTGGTAAAATGTGTCTATATGCGTCCAGTGTACGATTCAATCTTTGGCGTCCAGTGTGCGATTCAATCTTTGGGTTTGTCATTAAGTTGGGTCAGGGCTTGTTTATAATTAAACATTTAAAGCTCAAGTCTTAAAATTTTAAACCCAAAAGGCCAAAAGGCCCAAACTAATATTATAGTCCATATAAGAATTTGATGCCCTGTACGGCTGCACGAGTTGCATGTGCCTAGGGCCGGGCCTGCTCCGATGGGTTTAAATTGGTTTCAGGGCCTGCTCCGATGGGTTTAAATTGGTTTCAGGATTCGATTACAACAATGGCGAAATCAATATCACATGTCTTTTACAACAACAACATCAAACCTAGAACTCCATCTTCGTGAATAAAACCTAAATCTACTTTAGAAAAAAACCCAAAATCATGGCAAAAATCAATATCACAAAATTTATTCCACGGAATGGGAAAAGGAAAGGGAAGAGGCACGGTGGGGTAGGTTGCTGAAGACAAAGAAGGGAAATGCTGGAGGAGAAGGGGTAGGGGTGGGAAGAAATAGGGGTGTGCAAAAACCGAATTATTCGGAATCCGAACCTAAATCCAAACCGAAAGTAAGGTATTTATGTAAAACCCAAATGCCCGGAACTCCAAAAATCAGAAAACCGATTTTTTGGGGAAAATTCGGGTTCGAGTTGATTTTGATTTTTGGCTGCCCGATTCGTCAGAAAACCCGAAATATCTATACATACACACACATATATATATATATATATATATATATATATATATTAAACACTATATAAATATAATTATTTATCTAATTATCATTTGAAAATTCTAAAAATCTTAATCGGTCGTGTTTTTTTTTAATTTTTAAGCATACTATTGATTTATCAATCATCTAAATCGATTGAGTTCATCGTCAAAGTCGATTAGATATATATATATTTTTTGCATTATAACTAAACCCGAACCCCACCGACCTCAACCTAAAACCCCACCAACCCAAACCCGAAGCAATCCGAAATCTAAAAATTGGGACTTGATTTCCATATCCGAAATTCGATCGGGTTTTTGATTTTTCCACCCGAACCCGTCCGACCCGCCCAATGCACACCCCTAGGAAGAAAGGTGGGGAAGGGGTTTCTCTGGGGTCATGTAATGCATGAAAGAAATGATTTGCCTATGAATTAACCAAGTTTTTTCTTTAACAAAGTTAGTGTCAGGGACCAAAATCAAAATGAATTACAAACTACAGTGATGAAAACTATAATGTCAAAAGATTAAGGATGAAAGTAGCATTTTTTAGCAAACATGAGGGATGAAAATTGTAGTTTACTCTTAAAGAAAATTAAAAAAAAAAAACAAAGGAAAAGAGAGGAAAACAGATCAAGCCGGATTGACCCAACCTCGTGTTCTCAGATCCCCCGCCCCTCTCTTTACTCATCACATAGAAACCCAGCTACTGACCTAGAATAACCAAGATCAAACTTAATCGCCATGGCAATGGCGATGAAGCTTTCCCTCCTTCTTCTCTTCTTCTTATCGTCTCTAATCCCTACCTTCTCTCTCTTTGAAGATCAAGTCGGATTCATGGACTGGTATCTATTTTAAATTAAAATTTTATACTCACTCTTGAGTTAATTTTTGAACCTAGTAGAGTAAACCGGTTTTGGGATTTTCTCTCTCTATGTAGGTAACTGTGTATTGATGAGACGCTAGTGCTTAAGCTTGATTTAATTGTTGTATCTACGTATACAATACCATGACGTGTTGATCGATTGTTTTGTTTGGCTTCTTAGACGAATTCTTGTAGTTTAAGATGGTCTTCTATATGTCCCATTGAATTCGTAGCTGCTTCATCCGTTCAGTGAAAAAGGAGATACCTTTGACTTTTCTATGTGACATGGGCTAATTTTCAATTGAAAATTGATGTGTTTTTGATATTTTTTCGCGATATATTTGCTAACTGCATGAAACTCTATTTCGAGTATTAGAAATTGAATAATGTTGATGTCGACTTGTAACTGAAATCAATTTCAGTTTTGGAATTGGGAAGTGCTTGATTAGATATCAAGTTCGAGTGTAGCTTTTTTGGGATTTGAAATGGTTCCAGTAGTTTCAACGGCTAAACCCTTGATCAATTTGTGCTTGTTTATACGTCACTGATGTATTTTTGGGCGAGTTCTGAGCCTTTGTTTGTCTGTGTTTATATCAGTTTGGCTGTAGGTTTTAACCATTTAGATTAATATAGTATAATATGTGTTGAATAGATTTCTGGGTCAATTTTACATATGAAAGCCAATCATATTTTGTAATCTTAAAAGTTTAATGCCTAAGCTATTCATTTGTTTGTTTGACATACATGGTGTCCTCACTCTCACTGTTGTTACATTACTAACACGTATATGTCTCTGTGTTTTAGCCATATATAGTCGGAACCGGATATCTTTCATTTTTAAGTCTTATAACGTATAATGTTTTCTCACTCAGGCATCAACGGTACATAGGGAAAGTAAAGCACGCAGTGTTCCAAACGCAAAAGGCAGGCCGAAAACGTGTTGTGGTGTCTACTGAAGAGAATGTTATTGCCTCCCTTGATCTCCGTCGAGGCGAGATTTGTAAGTTGTAACGTTCATTAGCATTTAGGCTTTTTGTATGTCTTTTGTCCGCATCTATTATATGTTCTATAGGGTTATACTTTTGTTCAAAAAATTATATCTGTATGCTGATGCTTTCCGGCTATATGCAGTTTGGAGACATGTTTTGGGAGCCAATGATGTTGTTGACAAAATTGATATTGCTCTTGGGAAATGTAAGTATTCTTCCTTGTACTAAAAAGTCAGCCAGCAGTTTTGCGGACTGGTTTATCAAAATTTTGTGACTGTTGAACCGAATATCTGACTACTTATTTCAAATGCGGGGAGTTACTTGGTCACAGCTTTTATCTCTTTTACCATGTGATTAATTTTGTTAAGTGAAAGGGCAAAGAAGGAAATGAGAATAGACAATTTTGTCATGGGCTTGCAAAATAGTTTTTCTTCAGACAACCAACTTTATTTTTCTTTGAAATTATTATTATAGTTATACCATTTCTGGTTTCATTGTTTGTACAGATATTATTAATAATATGGAAAAGTTACTTTATGATCAGATGTCAATCATGATTTAAGCTGGAAAATTGATCAAAATGGAAACTAACCGAACTTAAGAAGCTTTTTGCCCCAAACTAGTTTAGTTAGCTAAAAATGATATCAACATGATATTATGATTAGAAAGCGATATAAGGCTGAGTTTGTGTTACCTTTTCTTGCTTAAGTAATAATCTTTGTTCAAGTAGAGAAGTTTGATGCAGATATATGTAGTTGGATGAACTGATGAAGAATATCTCTAACAAAATCTACGTGGTTTGGCACATATTGTATAAGAGATTGATTTCTTATACTTAAGAAAGCAGGCTGCTTGACTGCATCTGTATGTGTATGGTTATTTACTACAACAATAAATTAACTCAAGTTCAACAAGTTGTGAATATTATAAACCCCTCAGTTTTAAGATGTACTTAAATGATGATTGATTGCTAAAGTATCTTTTCCAATTTCTCAGACGTTATTACACTATCATCAGAGGGGAGTATATTAAGAGCTTGGAACCTTCCTGATGGGCAGATGGTGTGGGAATCTTTTCTATCGGGGTCAAAGCCCTCGAAGGCATTATTAACAGTTCCGGTGAGTAACAATTTTGGTAACACAATATGTTAGTAGTGTAATAGTCTTAGCATGCTTTTGGTGCACTCTACGCTCCTTTCTCACCAGCTTGTGCCGGAACATTATTTTTTACTCAGCTCAACTCAGATAACCCTTTATCATAAACTGATTGCAGCGACTTCAGTAAATGTATACGCTGGAAATACCATTCATATATGTCTAAAGCATGTTATTTTGTTACCTGGAACATACATTATGTACTTATTACATTGAACAATCAACAATGTACAATATTCATTTTGTACTTAGTATACTGAACAGTCCTACAATATATTGTCTTGAAATGGTAACATGGTAAGTCTCTGCAGGCCAACTTGAAGGTTGATCTGGACAGTCCCATTTTTGTTTATGGCGGTGCATGTCTTTATGCCATTTCCAGCATTGATGGGGAGATTCTTTGGAAGAAGGACTTCACAGCTGAAGGGTTTGACCAATTTCAAAGTTTGATGTAATTTTTGTTGTTTCTTCTTTGTAGTAGTTGGCCCCTGATAGATTATCTGTATTTCCTGTGCAGCATTGATGTTCATCAATTGCTTCTTCCTGACGGGAGTGATGTAGTTCATGCTGTAGGAGTTACCGATTTATCCCAGTTCGATACATATGAGATTGATGTGAGGAATGGAGAGTTACTCAAACATGTCAGCGCATCATTTCCTGATGGTATTTATGGGGAAATCTTGCCAATTTCAAGTGACAAATTTGTTGCACTCGATGCTAGGAGGTCAGTTTTGGTGTTAATAAGCATCAAAGATGGACAAATTAACCTTCAACAGACCCATGTTTCAGATCTCGTACATGGATCTTCTGGGAATACAGCTATTTTACCTTCAAAGCTTTCAGGAATATTTTCTGTAATCACGGATACCTTCATTGCTTTTATTAAAGTAACCAATGAAGGGAAATTGGATGTAATGGAAAAAGTTGATAAGATGGTCGTTGTTAGTGATGCATTGCCCCTTTCAGAAGGCGAGCAAGCTTTTGCACTTGTTCAGCATGGAGAGAGTAAGATTCACTTATCTGTAAGGCTGGTTCATGACATGAGTAGCAATCACCTCAAGGAAACTGTCAAGATGGATCATGAGAGGGGCTTTGTGCATAAGATTTTCATTAATAACTATGTTCGAACAGACAGGTCCCATGGTTTTAGAGCATTGATTGTAATGGAAGATCATTCACTACTGTTGCTACAGCAAGGTGAGATTGTCTGGAGTAGAGATGATGGACTTGCTTCTGTGATAGACGTGACAACATCGGAACTGCCCGTGGAAAAGCTTGGTGTATCAGTATCAAAGGTTGAGCACAGCCTTTTTGAGTGGCTTAAGGTATGAAACTTCTTGAGATGCTTTTGAAATCAACACATGTTATGTTTTCAAGCAGTATTATTATTTTGTGCTGATAAGAGTTGGTTCAAGGATGCATGGCAATATGAAACTAAAAATGGTCTTGCAAGTTTCTTGCACGATGTTACATTTGTTTTCCATGTGAAAAGAAATAATATATTTATCCGCATCATGTGGTTGAACTGTAAGAAAATAGCAACACTTTTATGGTCTTTAACCGTTTAGTGTTAAATGGAGTTTATGGAGGATTGGGTGCATTAGTAACTCATGAAAGTTATATTTTCACCACCAGTCTTGTCTTGTCTCTGTAAGTGAATTTACAATTTATATAGTATTTTATGGACCTTTACATAATTTCATTACATAGTCAACGTTTCTAAGCACGTCAAAAGTAAGCTGTTCACAATTGAGGTGTTGGGTCATGATCCATGGTGTCACTTGCCTTCTGCAAGTATTTGGGTGGATTAAGAAGATGTATTTGGAGTAAATATTTCATTATTGCATTACCTATTCCTGTGGTATGAAGTTATGGAATGGATACCTTGTTAACGGAATTGCTTATGCACTTTGAATTTCTGAGTTATAGTGCCTATGGTTCAATTGATCCATCATGCTCACAAGCGATGCTTAGGAAAATGAGTTTATGCTTGTCTTACTACAACAATGTTTGTTTGGTATTAGCATCTAGGGTTTCTATTGTGGGTTCTTCAGTTGGAAATATCCTGTTACTTGGTTCATCGCCATAGTAGTCATGGTGCATGACCTGGTGATTTTGTAATGTGGTTCTTTGCCATATTAACGGTGCATGAGGCTGAAAGAAAAGCATCATATACACTCTATACATTAGAGGATGATGACACATGGTATTGCCTTGACAGTGTAAAATTTGGGCCTTCTAATCAATTTTTTGAACTTTTTTAGGTTTGGGGTCTCTTATTATGTTGTATATATTTCTTAAAAGCTACGTCCTCTTTTTTTGAACTAATATAATAATGCCAGAATCCTTTAGTTCTGACTCAACACATCAACATCTAGCTACTGACTGTGGACAGTTATTGAGCCTCTGCCTCTCCTTTTGTCCATGAGAACTCGGCTCCTGTGCTTTCTCCTTTCTTCTATCTATCTGATCTTTTCCTGTATGCCTTTTATTTCGACTGCATTTCATTTATTCTCTTGGTTGATGCATTTTACCTCATAAAAATTTTCTATTAATTTTCTTTTTGTCTGATTCCATTCTTCCTAAAAAAACAGTCAGTAGGAAACGGCACCCATTTTTAGTTGTATTATAAGATCTTTTAAAATACTAAAAAGTCTACAATAACTGAATTAAGTAAATATTATTGATTAACTATGAAATTAATTTTTTGCACAAGACAGCGTCAGGCTTTTGAATTGATCCGACTATCCCACAAGTCATGTTTTGCTAAAAAATGTTTACGAGCTCTTTGGCATTACTGCAATCTTATTTATTTTTGGATTGTTTCTCTTTTGGAAATTGGTGCTATAGCCATGGCTCATTCTCGTATAGTGCACTCTTGCACCACTTTGCCGCAATTGCTATGTCCATTGCTAACTTATGTTGACAAATTTTGGTTCTTCTAAGAGTCCATTGGTTCTTATGACCTTGCTCTTTTGTTGAAGGGTCATATGCTGAAGCTTAAAGGAACTTTAATGCTTGCAACACCAGATGAAGTAGCAGCAATACAAAAGATTAGGTTGCAGAGTTCTGAGAAAAGCAAGATGACCCGAGACCATAATGGGTTCCGTAGACTGCTCATAGTACTTACTAGAGCTGGGAAACTTTTCGCATTACATACAGGAGATGGACGAGTTGTCTGGTCTAGCCTACTGCAATCCCTTCGCAAATCAGACAAATGTACCGATCCCATTGGTCTCAAGTTGCACCAGTGGCAAATTCCGCATCATCATGCACTGGATAATAATCCATCTGTCCTTGTTGTTGGAAGATGTGGACTTTCTTTGTCTGCTTCTAGCGCAATGTCAATTGTTGATGCTTACACTGGAAAAGAGCTTCACAATATGGGTCCTGCACATTCCACTGTGCAAGTTATTTCTTTACCATTCAGTGATTCAACTGAGCAGCAGCTTCACTTGCTGATAGATGCTGATAAGCGTGCTCACTTGTACCCTAGAACTCCTGAAGCTGCTGAGATCTTCCAACGTGAGTCTGAAAACGTGTATTGGTACTCGGTCGAAGCTGAAGCTGGTATCTTGAGGGGGTATGCGGTGAAAGGCAGTTGTAACCTTGAGGTACCTAATGAATACTGCTTTGAGACCAGGAATTTATGGTCTATTGTGTTCCCATCAGAATCAGAGAAAATCATCGCAACAGTGACAAGAAAAGCTAATGAGGTATGTTGTTGTTCTTAAATGTAAATGTCAAAGTTGGAGAAGATCAATTTAATCTTTTGTCCTTCAGGTGATTCACACTCAAGCAAAGGTTATTGCGGATGAAGATGTGATGTATAAATACATATCAAAGAATATTCTGTTTGTTGCTACTGTTTCACCTAAAGCCAGTGGTCCAATTGGCTCAGCAACTCCAGATGAATCATTGCTGGTGGTCCACCTTGTAGATACTGTAACTGGTCGCATACTGCATCGCATGAGTCATTCAGGCTCACAGGGTCCTGTGCATGCAGTGAGTATCAATGGTTTTTTCTTTACTTCAAAAAAGTAACTTGTTTTCATGAATGATCTGTTGTTTATGTGTTTTCATTTGTTGCTCTCCCTCCAAAGGTCCTTAGTGAGAACTGGGTTGTCTACCATTACTTCAACTTACGAGCACACAGATATGAGATATCTGTGATTGAGATTTATGATCAGTCTCGTGCGGTATTGCTCTTAAACTTGAATTTTCTGTCATATTTTCCCTATGGGCTATGGGAACTTTTATATATATATTTTTCCTTAATTTTGATTACCATCCACAGGAAAATAAAGATGTTCTGAAGCTTATTGTTGGAAAGCATAATCTCACTGCACCTGTGTCATCTTATTCTCGGCCTGAGGTTACAATAAAATCACAATCTTACTTCTTCACACATTCGGTGAAAGCAATATCTGTAACGTCGACTGCCAAGGGCATAACTTCCAAGCACCTTCTTATTGGCACACTTGGTGATAAGGTTAGCTTAAAACATTGATAATAAAATGCTTTCTTTAATTCTTCTTTTATTGAAGGTCATTGCTCTTTTTTCATTCTTGCCCAAATCCCCTGTTAAGTTGACATTGTATCTGCTTTCCACAAATTGCTCTTATTTTACATTACTTGAACCCATGCTGACATTTACATACACTTTGCCATACACAAACTCTCGTGTAAATTTTGTAGGTATTGGCTCTTGATAAGCGTTTTGTTGATCCACGAAGGTCACTTAATCCCACACAAGCTGAGAAAGAGGAGGGTCTTTTACCTCTGACAGATGCTTTGCCAATTATCCCACAGGTGAGTGGGTAGAATCCCTCCTCTTGTTTTGATTTTGTAATTAGAAACATACTAGCTTTGAGGCAAGAAATGCTGAACTAGGCCCTTTTTGCTGAGCCTCTGAATGCTTTAGTCACTTAGACATCTTGATGATCAAGCATGTTTGTTTTTTCTTGAGCCAACGATAACGGTTCAACTTGCCATTAAAGATTCATACATACAAGTATGTCTTAAAAAATTAGTAGTGCAAATCTGGTTTAATTTTTGTTAACAAATCATCTCTTTTTGAGCACAAGATAGTTACTTACACTTTTTTTTGTCTTTGTTTATCTTGTTTTTTTCCTGTTAAATTATTGTTTTCATTTCTGTTTTCTGTTCTGTTTTTCTTTTATATTGTTGCCTTTTCATTGTTTTCTTCTTGGTTTATTATCTGTGCTGTTAAAACTGGTGCAATAGCGGTTATTGGTCCTAGACAAAATTGCGGTGGTAAAATATTGGTGTCAAATTATGGTTCCGAGAATGGCGCTGCAATTTGCCCGCTGTTTCACCGATATTTAACATAAATAGCGGTCTGCAAAACCTTTATTTGGAGTTATTTCACCAATATTTAGCATAAAATAGCGGTCCACAGTACCGCTATTTGCAGTTGGACCTTTTCTGAGTCTGATGTTTACATTTTGGTCTTGTTTGGCCTTTTATTTTATACTTGGACTTGTTTTATTTAAAACTTTAAATCATTTAATCCAACAACGACTATTCTTTAGCAGTCAACGCATTAGATTAGACTTTATTAGGTTTTCAATTTTCTTTCAACGTCATCATCCTCCTCAGTCCTCTCGACCTCGATATTTCCAGGCGCAGCCTCCTCAACAATGGACAGCCTCCTCCATCTTCTTCTTCACAGCCACTGCACAGCCACGAGTCTTACTCTAGCCACCAGCCTCCTTGTCGACACCTTCACCAGCCTCCTCGTTGACTCAACATTCGAACAGCCCTGCTTCCCAGCTTTTAATTAATGCATATAGTATGCATATATATATATATATATATATATATATATTATATTATATATATTTCTAATAATTATTATATGAACCACTATTTTTGGACCGCTATACCATCGCGATAACCGCCATTTCAAATCTTAGTCCTGACCGCTATTTTGTATTTTGACCGCTGTAACAACATAGTTTATTATTTGCGCATATCATTTGAAACTTCTTTTTATACTATTCTCCCTCCCCCCTGCCCCTCCAAAAAAATTGTATTTCGATTTATTCAACTAGTATCTATCATGGATCAAAATTCCCAGTCATTTAACACTTGTTATTCAGTTTTATCAAACGCAAATTTTAGTGTATCATGTGTTCTTGCATAAGGATGAGTAGCGGTAGATTTTTGTTGGGTTACTTTTGGAAGTGGTCAACCAAACCCTGGCCCATGAAAATTATTCATTTTCATTTTTTATAAATTCGGTTAACCTGGATCATGGATAGTGCTGACCTCAAATGAAGGTGGCAATATCGATTCTACATGAGATATTTTTCACCAACTGTAGGATAAAGCGCATCTAAAAGACTTGGTGTCTAACTAGCTGGCCAATTGTACCCTCATCTGATCGGGCCAGATTATCGAGTCAGACGCTCACTTTCCCATGAATTAGCTTCTTGATTTTCAAAACTGTGTCAATGCCAATGCACTAGCATACAGTCATGGGAACAAATAAAAATAGCTGTCCATTTGAATAAAGTCGGTGGTTACAACTAGGGGTTAAGTCCAAAACTTCATGTTGTAATAATGTAATACTAAACTGGTTAGTTTGATTTAGGGGTCGTTTACCAAACATTTACCCGGTAAGTGCTCAGCGGTAAAATTTAACACTATTATTTACTTACCGGGTAAGATTTTAGTCCATCAAAACGACATTGTATGCAACAATTCACCCGGTAAGCGCTTACCATGGTAAGAGTCATCGCCCTCACTTACCAGGTAAGACTCATGGTCATTGTCTCGCTCTTACCGGGTAAGATTCTTAGTCCTTACAATATTTATCCGGTGAGGTAATGTGACTTGGTAAGCGCTTACCCAGGTAAGTGTTTGGTAAACGGCCCCTTAGTTAGGGACAGTGCAGTCAGCCATGGTTCAAATCTTGTATGAATATATTGGTTTGGTTAAGGGTTTATGTGGTGCTAATCGAAAATGTCAAACACAGATTTATTAGTACTGTATAGTATAATAATCATTTATTACAGTAGTAGAAGACCATTTTTTATCTATAATAAAGGATAACAATCTAGAGGTGGTTTTATCCCATCTTTTAAGGGTTTTCCTTTATAAATATTTCCTTGTATAATAAAAATGATTTGAACCATTTGCCAAACCGACAGAAGTTGAAAACCGTGGTTCAGAACCAAGTAGGTGGTTTAGTTTATGGCTCCGCCACAAAACTGAGCTGCCATCACTACTAGCAGGTTGGTTTCCGATCACTTGTTTGATAAACCTCATGAAGTGCCTAGTCTGCACTGTATTACTTACGTGGACATGTTTGGCCGCCGTAAGCTAGCTCAATTTTTGTTCTTTTTGAAAATGCGCCCTGTTTGGTGAGTCATAAGCTAGCTTCTTGAAGTACTACTTCATATAGCATTTCAATAAGCTTATGGGTTTTTTCCACTTCTTTTTTCTCATTATTCCCCTTGTATATTATATAAATGACCAAAAAACATGTCATTTACATAGTTATATAACTTATCATCTAATTATTACAAAATGTGACTAGTTTATAGCCGACAACTAGCTTATTAAGCTAGTTTGTCAAACATAACCTTAATGGTATTGTTTGCATTTTTAACACGATTGCCATTCTACGACTCACTGTGTAGTTTTGTCATTCACCAAAAGCTTATATATACGTGTGTATTCATTTTTTTTTGTTGCAGTCGTACATAACACATGCGTTTAAAGTAGAAGGTCTTAGAGGCATAGAAACTGTACCTGCAAAGCTGGAGTCAACGACCCTTGTATTTGCATATGGTGTCGATCTCTTCTTTACTAGGCTTGCACCTTCAAGAACGTATGACTCACTTACAGAGGATTTCAACTATGCACTGCTGCTTCTTACAATCGTCGCCCTCGTGGTGGCTATTTTTGTAACATGGGTTTTGTCCGAGAGGAAAGATCTGCAGGACAAATGGAGGTAAGTGCCCAAAATTCCATAATAAGTTTCTTACGTTTATTTGTTTTATATCACTCAACGATGTTTGCGTCAACTTGTGCCATGGTAGTCCCTTTGGTAGCATACTATTTTGTCGGTTTTGTTTCTTGAGGTTAGTAGCGTTAGAGCGAACTGGTGTTCATTGATGAACAACATTCACACAAATTTTTTACTCTAATTTGTCGTAGAATCTTTCGCTAGAAGAAACTCCCATAAAACCTACTCATGTTTTTGTAGTCGATTTGTGGGACCCGCTATTTATTTCGAACCGCTGTTTTTTTGCGATTGTTCGGGCTTGTTCAATCGTTTCTTGGTCTAAAGATTTTAGATTATTCCGATGGATTTTATTTCCTTTTTCTGTTTAATCTGGATATCCAATCCCCTATGCGAGCCGACTAATCCCAGGCGACCACCTGCTTTGCGGGTAGTCCGGAGTCACCACATTTGAACCTCCATAGCCACAAAGAGGATTTTTGTTCCTCCTTGGATTTGAACCTGGTAAGTTCATTTCATACAGGACCAGACCGGAATAGGCTTATATACATTCTCATTGTGAGAAGGGGTCATTTGAGCGTCCAGACACTTTTGACCATTGGAGCACAAACTCACACCAATCAGGCATCACCCTTTTTGTTTGGATTTTATTTTCTAATACTTTTGTCTACTAAACACTTGTCTTTTAGCCGGTAACTAAACACTTGTTACCTCTTACCCGCGTAAGCGATACTCGGTCAGAAATGGTTCACCAACAATCTAAGGGTCTGTTTGTTAACAACTTAATGAGCTCAATGAGACTTGCAATTTATTCTCTCAGCTATATATGACTGTTCGGTAATGCCTTTATGATATAGAAAGTAGTTTATTCAATAAGCTTCTAGGTGAGTGTCTTTATGTAGAAAGGCAAGTTTTTCGAAACCTGTCCTTCTAATAAAAAAAACACGCTTCTTTCTTCTATAAAATAACCCTTTCAAACAAAAAGTTTCCCAATCTATATTAATCCACACAGACAACTTTATTCATGCAAGACTTAATTGGAAAACCAACCAAAGAACCCCCTTAATGTGCCATGTTGTCGACCGAGAGTGTCGACTCTTATTTGGTTAGCACTTACCAGGTAAAAGACACTTAGGGGCTGTTTACCAACTCTTATCGGATAAGTGCTATCCAGGTAAGAGTGCTGACCCGAGTAAGTGCTATCCCGGTAAGTGCTGTCCCGACTAAGAGTGTTTACCAAATATTTTTGGTAAGTTCTTACCAACAATATAATGACCATTATAACCCTATTTATAATTATATATTGATTAGGCATTTTTTCATGTAATTATCCGGCCCAAATGTCATGTGGATTATTCCAAATCTAGATAGAAAGCCATCCATAAATTCAAAGCTTCAGCCCAAAACATCAGCCCACATACATCTTCAATTTGAAAAGCCCAAAAAACACCATACAACAAAACCGACCAACCAAATCAGATGAAATCATCAAAGAACATCCGCATCATATCTATAAACCCTAAATCCCAGTTCAAAAAGCCTCCCTTCGATTATCTCCATAGATGAAGTCATCGAAAACCACAAGAACACAAACCATCAAATCGAAACCCCAATCATCCTCAAACATCCCAACCGGCGATCCCCACCCCCAATCGGCAAAACCACAATCACATGCAGCCATCGTCGAATCCACAGTCAAAATCAACCCTCCACGACTTGAGAATGCTTTACACCTGCAAACCCTTTCCCCATTATGTTCTCATTCCTTTCCCAATCTCCCTGAAAGAGGGCAAGTATGGAAACGTGAAATCTGACTCGGGTAAGCATGAAATCGAAGCTGACGGGGTAAGATTTCGGTCAGCATTTCGGTCAGATCTCGGTCAGATTCGTGATTTGGTAAACACACTGACTGCTGACCGAGTCAGATATGCTGACCGAGTCAGTCCGGTCAGCAGTTAGTAAACAGCCCCTTATGCTTTGTTATTTTGATGACTAAGGGGCCGTTTTCCTAAACACCTACCCGGTAAGCACTTAACGCTAAAATTCAACACTATCGCTTACTTATGTGGTAAGATTTTATTCATTAAAATGCATCGTATGCAACAATTTATTCCGGTAAGCGCTAACCATGATAAGAATCATCGTCCTCACTTGCTCGGTAAGACTTTCAATTCTTGCTTTCGCTCTTACCGGGTAAGATTATTAGCTTTTGCAATATTCATCTGGTAAAGTAAAGTGACTTGGTAAGCGCTTACCCGAGTAAGCGTTTTGTAAACGGCACCGTAATGTTACTTGTTAAGCATGTTACTTGTTAAGCGCTTACCCGGGTAAGCGATTGGTAAACGGCCCCTAAGAACCTTTCTCGGTAAGGTAAGTGAGTTATGTTTACCCAGTTTGTATTGGTAAACAGTCGTTAATGATGATTTTGTACTCTTTAGATGCGTTTTGTACACTGGACAGTGCAAAACAGAATAGGGATCTCTGTTCCATGTTTGACATGACTTTTATGTTGAACAAACATGAATAAAGCGGAACCAAGTGGAACAGGTCTGTTCCACCCATACCTTGTGGAACAAGGTGGTACAGACTTTTATAGTTTACCAATACAACCTCAAAATAAAACTTAATTCTCTTAAAAAACATCAAATAGATCTCTTTTTCACATTTTATTTATTCTTTAAATTTTATTTATCGTATTTTATGTTTTTTAAGCTTTCATTTTACTGTCCTCATAATTTTTTATATGGTTTCTATATTTTTATTAATTCATATAATGTATTATATATTAATAATAAAAAATATGTAGATTAGGGGCAATATAAAAATTGAAAACTACATAAATTTTTTATTTTTGTGTTATTTTAATTGTTTTGACAAAAACTTTCTACTGATATATTTTGTTATAAAAAATAATTATTTTTATTATAATTTAATAAATTACATAAATTAATCAAAATATATAAACAACACATTAGGGTAAATTGGTTATTTTATTTGTTTGTTCTGTCTAGTTTTGTTTTACCAAACATCGAATAGTTGTTTTGTCATGTTCTCTCCTGGCATGTTTTGTCGTGTCCTATCCTATCTGGAGATCAAACGTACTCTTAAACAAGAACCGAATTCTTGTCAATGTTTCCTTTTTATTATTTTTTTAACCATTTTTTTTGTTTTGATGAATCTATAGTACATATAAATTAAAATTGATAAAAAAAAATATAAATTACCTTTTATAAAATATATTAATTAATTTTGTTTTAGTTTTCCTTTTTTTGGTAAATGTTTATACTAAGTTTTGTATTTTGTTTTAATAAGTTTAATATTTAATTATTTTGTTATGTTATTATGTTGAGATTATTTTTTAAATACGTTTATATATACTAGAAGAGTGCTCGCATAATATAGCAATATATATTTCAATTTTAATGTTTTGTTTTATTATTTATCTTCGTCGATATAATACGGTTTTTAGTAGTTTTGAGAAAATGATAATGTTTTTATTTTTGAATAAAATATAAATTTAAATATATCATAAATTTTTTGAAAAAAGAAATATATCAATAATAATATCAAATTCACTATTTAAATTTCTCGTTTTCTTATGTAATATCTTTAATTCAATATTTTATTT